CAGCCAGCCATGCTGGCTGGGGAATTCTGGGAATTGAAGTCCACTCATCTTAAAGTGGCCAGGTTTGGACAACACTGGTATAAGCGGTCGGGTGAGCACAGTTTTCCAGCTGGCACTACAAACACACACTTCAGCACTTTACGTTTCAGCTCCAACCTTCCAGTATCAGGTGTACTGTTTCTTTCCCACCCAGAGCATATGACTGTTTACATACATGTTCATACATGTTATATCACAGAGATGCTCACCTTTCCTCTATATGTGCAAATAGCCTAGCAAATCATTTCCAAGAACCCGGAATACTGTGGGTATCAGTTGAGCCTCTCTGGGTAGAGATATAAAATTTGGGAACTGGAGTGTATCGATGATGTTCCAGGAGCTAGCCAATAGCTGGAGTTTCTTTTATGGGAAGAGAACCATTCTAGGAAGCTCCAGAATTGACAAAGGGAAGAAGAAGGAAAACAATTCAGTGTTTGTCTTTAGGGTCTAGCAACGCCCACCATGGCAGCCATTTTGTAAGAGATCTCGCAACTTGTTCTCACAATTCCTGGTGCACCCAGGCAACTCAGAAAGGCTCCTTACTCCTTTCAGACCTACAGCCCTCTTCCATCATTCTCCTTCCACATTATTAACAATACACAAGGAGACAAGCAGAACATGTCCTTCTAACCCAGGTTCCAGCTACTCCAGAAGGCCTCTTCTTCACTCATTACTAAAACAGGGAGTCTGCTATTCAGATTCACCCATTGTGCTACATCATGGCACACTAAATAAGCCACAATATATTGTAGCCCTAAGAACAACAGCGTTTTACAAACCCCAGTGACTGAGTTTGTATGCCAAAATCAAACCAAGCACATTATGGCTTAACACGAGATGCAATTCCAGCCAAACTGTGGTTAGTCATAACACCGTTTGGGGGGCAACTATGCCCACTGCAAAGATGTATTCACATCTCCCGCAACAACAGGAGAAACTGAGCTAGGCTTGGATGTCAGAGACCCAATGGAAAAGACTAAGCCAAGAACCATTATCCCGCTGACAAAACGGTACCTGCTCGGCGGAATTTTTCCAGGAGCTCATATCGAACGACCTTCTCTAAATTGAAGTAGTTATGGTCCTCATCAGGTTTGCTGATGAAGAGGGGGATATGCTGGAAGACGACAGCATGACGGCATTTCTTTTTTTCTGCAATGGCAAGCTGCTGCTCCAGCCATGCGTCCTGAGCCTCCTTTAACTCTGGGCATTGGGAAGCATCAAAATACAGTTGAGAATTCAACACGAGAAAGAAGACGCCGCCAAGCCAAAAGCTGAAGTAATCATCACCCCACTGTTGGCAATAATCGCTGATCGTCTCCAGAGTCGGCGTATTCCCCAAGTCATGATTGCCACTGACGAAAACCAGAGGGATGTCGCTTCTAAGGCCCTTCAGAACATTCTTCAGATCCTGAATTTGGGCCTCCCGCCATTCTGTCCCTGCAAAACAGAAGAGTGAGTTGTTATTGGATATTAAGTTGCAGGTGTGGTCATGTTTGGTTTGAGGTGGCCACATGAAAGACTAATGTGATCTTAGCCTGCATCAAGAGACATGCAATTTCCAGGCTGCAGAAAGTCCACCACCTTATTCTGGCTTGGTCAGAACCTGCCTCAAGTACTGTGTCTAGTTCTGGATACCATGTTCAGAGAAACTGGAACAGCTTCAGAAAAGGACAACAAGGATGTCAAGAGATGGGAAACCAAGTCCTATGAAGAGAAAATGAAAGAGCTGGGAATGTTTGGCCTTAAGACAAACGCAGGGAGATAGGAGAATGCCCTTAGAATACCTAAAAGATGGTGGACAAGATCTGTTCTCTCTTGTTCAGCATGCAGGATCCAAAAGAATGGATTTAAGTTGGCAGAAGACAATTTAGAGCAGTGTCTTTCAAACCTGGCAACTTTCAGCATTCTGGCTGGGGAATTCTGGGAGTTGGAAGTCCACACAGCTTAAAGCTGTCAAGGCTGAAAAACACTGACTTAGAGTAAGAGCTGTCCCAGAGTGGAACCAATGACCCAAAGCGGTGTAGGGTTCCCTTCGTTGGGTATGTTCAAGCAGAAGCTGGAACTAAGAGTTGGTTTCAGTGGCATAAATATCCCTTCCAACCCTATAATTCGGTCCTTCGTTGGGTATGTTCAAGCAGAAGCTGGAACTAAGGGTTGGTTTCAGTGGCATAAATATCCCTTCCAACCCTATAATTCGGTCCTTCGTTGGGTATGTTCAAGCAGAAGCTGGAACTAAGGGTTGGTTTCAGTGGCATAAATATCCCTTCCAACCCTATAATTCGGTGTCCCCCCCCCCCTTTTTTTTTCTTTGCAGGAATTTCCACTGACTTGGGCTGCCTTAATCTTTCAACACCTGCCATTCTAGGTTTTGCAAAGCCCCCGGATTGTAAAAGCCAGAATAAAAATACAATTATCTCAAAATGGTACAATTTAGCAAACAGTAAAAAAAAGAAAAGAAAAAGCAACAACATCCAAGTGAACCATAAGTGCCTTCTACTTAATGGCTTTAAAGCACAGCGCCAATACTTCTGGCTGTAAAATGCATTTGATCTGCTGTCAAAACCATTTGTTTGATCTGACATGTCTAAATTTTATAGGCACTTCAGGAGAGAGGCCAGAAATAAGTCGCCGTCATCCCAGAACAGTTCTCTGGCTGTAAATTATCAATTAACATGCTGATCATTCAATGATGGCTCGTAGGATGTCAAGGTCATACATGGAGAACTTGGGGTGGAGGGGTAGGGATTAGAAACAAGATCTCCCCAAGTCTCTTACCTAACCCATCCTTCCCCAATTTCCAGACCTGGATGTCTGATTGGTTGAGAATTCTGCAAACTGCAGATTAGTCTCCTCTAGTTTGTTGCACTCAAGAGGCAGAAGAGTGAAGACTGTGGAATACAGATATGACACTGAACTGGTCATAAAACTGGCTTCAAAGATGCACAAACACGGGAATATCAACTAACTAAATCAGTATTTTTTAAACTTGGCAACCTCAAGATGCGTGGACTTCAACTCCCAGAACTCCCCAGCCAACTAGATAAATCCACCACTGAAACAGAAGGACAGGAGAGCTGTGACTTGCATAAATCGATCTAGAGAAACCAAATTCTTGATAGGTTTGCAGCACTATAAAGATTGAGAGATTGTTGTCTCCCTTTGAACTGCATAGCTTCAGTTCTTATGCTGCATTTTTCAGTAAATGTCCCTTTGTCACACAAGGAGATTAATATTAGGAATAACCCACACACACAGCCAGAAAGAAAGGGGGCTTTGGCTCAAAGAGGGTTGGCTCAATAAAAGAACAAGGTGGCAGATGGTACCACCAGACTGATCTTGTCTGCGTAGGGAAGCTAAGCAGGTTTCAGCCTGGTTTGTACTTGGAAGGAAGATCCCAAAGGAAACTCAGGAATACAGGCTAGACTAGGAAGTCAAGATCCTAGAAGAAAGGTATAGCTGGGGCTATAGGGACATAATTTTAAAAACAGAGTGCAGCCTAACTGAAAAAGTTGCCTTTTATTATTCTACAGATATAGTTGCTTCCATAACACAAAGAGGCCAGGTTACTTGACGTCAACCTGTTAAATTCCACTTATGGAATTCCTTCCCAGAGAGGCTTAACTGGTACCCACATTAGTGTCATTTCAGCACCAGGTGAAGACCTCTCCATTTTCCCAGGTTCTTTCATTGGCTTTTAATTCAATTTGCTTTTGGCTTGAATGACCACCTTGCTACTACCCAGTTTTCAATGGTGTTTTCCTGCTGTATGTTACGTGATGGTATTGTATATGTTTTTATTCCAATGATATCTTTGACATTTTTTAAAGAAATTGTAAACCGTTCAGCTACTGGGCAGCTTAAACATTTTAACAAATAAAGAAAAGGAAAAATCTTCTAACCGGCAAGGACAGGGAGCTAATTCAAACACTGGCAAATACAGAAAGGTCCCCCGAGAAAGACACTGTAGCACTCAAAAGCTTGTAGAGGGGCACAGAGATTAGCATGGAGAAGGTACGCCATGATCATTAGTAAGCATGAATTTAGCCCGAGAAAACAAGATAGGGTGAGAAAGAAACTCAAGATTGCCCCACTTTGATTTTCTTTGATATAAGAGGAAAGGAAGGGAGAATACTGTCAGGCTTTCAAGATTTTGTTGTTATAGCTCATATCAATAAAGTCAAGTTCTTGTATTTTTCATGATATCCGTTTCCTGACCTGGCCTATCTCCAATGGCTGACAAAGCCCTCTTTCTGGATGGGCAGACAAACTGATTTTTGCCTCGTTCCTTTTAAAGCATTAACTAATTCATTTTTGAAGAAAAACAATTAATTTAAACAATGCATATGGCTGCCCGTCTCGTTCCCACGACTCTGGGCAGCCAATGATACATTGAAAACCAAGATGGAAAAGCCAACCATCAAAATAAAAAAGAATGAGAGCCACAACAAAACCATGAAAACAAGATGATGGCATACTGGTTAAGGTTTTTGTCTTTTTTAATTAAAAAAAGGAGAACAAACCAAGCCAGTCTTCTACAAGCCAAGAAAAAAATTAAGCCCTGCTGAGTGTCTTATAAAACATTCACTGCTCCTCCACTTTCAATGCAGCATCTGATTAGCACGTTAACATCCCATCCTCTAATAAGGTGTCAAACTTAATAAAAATCGCTCATGTTCTCCGTTATGAGAACTGTCCGGAGCTGAGCAGTTTTGTTTTAACCTGATGGTTTTGGCATCGTTTCTCCCATCTGCCTTCTGTTCCTTTAAGTACAACTCATTTTTCTGTCTTAAAAAATATCAATTTGTGTCATTTCTACTGAGCGGTATCATGCTTATTATAGTTCGCAAATTAAGGACTTGAAAGTCATCCTGCCAGGTGAGTAAGGGAAAAGCAGGGCAAAAACAGTCTTGAGTAGCAATGGATTGTCCTCCCAATCCAGGAAAAGCAACTGGATTCAAGGGAGGGGGTTATCCCTGATGAAAAAGATTCCACATGTCCCCCCACCCTCCAGTCATCAACATTTGTCTCATGGAAGCAATAGAGAAACCTACATCTCTTCTAGAAAACTTTGCCACATCTACCAGTTGGAGAAATAAACCAAATTTCAAGGCGTAAACTATTGAATTGGATGCCTCTCAATCTGGAGGTGGCCACCAATTTAGACCATTTTTAAAAAAGGATGGTAGACGTTCACAGAGGATCGAGAAATCCTGGATGGCTACAAATCCTGATGCATGTTCACTCCCTCCTGAACTACAGGTGGTGTATCTTAAATAGCTATTACGGTGGCTTATTTAAATAAGCCATGCTAAGCAAACCATAGTTCAAAGCATGGACCTGGCCACTCACTCTCAACTTAAACCATCTTACTGGGTTTACTGGGGGTACAAGCTACATCGCCTGGCATTGTTAACAGAAAAGCTGAGAGCCAGTTTGGTGTAGTGGTGAAGGCTGCAGGCTAGAAAGCAGGAGACGGTGAGTTCTAATCCTGCCTGAGGCCTGAAAGCCAGCTGGGTGACTTTGGACTAGTTCCTCTCTCTTAGCCCAACTCATTTCACAGGGTTGTTGTTGTGGGAAAAATAGGAGGAGGAAGGAGTATTAGGTACGTTTACCACCTTGAGTTATTTATTAAAAATAAGAAAGGCGGGATAAAAAAATCTTAAAAAAAAAATCTTAAAAAAAAAGCAGACATCAAAATGTAACTAGAAAATAGGATCTAAAATTGCCTGAGATTTGAGCAAGGTTTTGGAAGAGTCTGCTTGAATTTTGTAAGATTGCAGCGAGAACTTCTTAAGACTGCAGCATGATTTGGGTTATTTTGTGGAAGGGGGGCCTTCTTGGGGGCTTTGAGGAGCCCCCCAACATCTGCAGAGCTTTGCCAACCTTCAATAAGCAAGCGGTGATGTCTCGCAGCCAGGCTCTACACCACAAAGCTCTTATGACAGCCTTGATCTGGTCCTGCAATAGCACACGTTGACTATTCTTGGTATCATCACACACATCCATACAATCAAGAGAGCGCAAGGGGGGGGGAAGCAACCCGTCATACTAGTAATGACAACAATCCAAGCGCGCCCCCCATTTAATCACCATTTACATAACCGAAGACACTGACGCTGATTACTTAGTTCCTCTAACGGGTTCATAAACGGCTCCAAGTGTTCTGCTTGATTGCAGCCTACTTTAGCTGATGAAGCTTTTTTGTGGCGGTTGTCCCAGGCGTCTTAAAAGCCAAAGACTGCGCTGTATTTACAAGGCTGGCAAGGAGAAGAACTTGGCAGCTGAGCTCAGTGTCCAGAGTCCAAAGAGGAGGGGACACCACCCTGGTACAGCCCACCCTCTGGCTCAGCTGGGGCCAATCTCAGCTCGGGACTGGCTGTCGCTCTCTTCTCTCCAGAAACTTGGCCATCAGGAACTAGATCGTTGCAGAAGCTTCA